TTTTTTTTAATTTAATTTGTTCATTTTTCATTTCAATGAACATCTACAGACATTTTGGAATTTCCACACTTGTAAAGAATCTGATTCCTGTGTAGTTCATCAGGTAAAATTCGTGCATGAAGTTGCCATTTGTATTTCTTTTTGTTTTGTTTTGTTTTAGCACCTTCTTTTATTCTTTTTTAAAAAATTAATTTTAATGGAACTTTACTGAGACTTAGGGCTTCCAGTTATTCATTGTTGCACTTTTCTCCCTGTCCACCTCCTCCTCCCAGTTTGCTCTTCTCTTTGAAAAGTAAAAGAAAGACTCTTTCATTGTTATGCAATCTCTCCCCCTCTCTCCCCCCAAGGGCACTTCACTGTAGCCTTTATTCTGGACTCCTGTAATGACAATAATACCTAATCATATATTCCTTTTAAACAGCTCTCTCCCTCATCTGTTTCAATCCCCCCTCCTTTTCTGTCTTCCCCCATGTCCGTCCCATTTTACAACAGTGGCCCTATGCAATATTTGTCCATTTGAGGTATTTCTTTTTTTAATTTATTATTAATTTCAATAAAAATTTGCAGGGACTTTGGATTTCCATTCCTTAATTGTTGCAATTTTCTCCCCTCCCAACCCTCCCCTCACCCCAGTACACTTCCCTCTTGGAAAAGTAAAAGAAAAATTCTTTCATTGTTTTACACCCCCTCCTCTTGGTCCACTCGACTATGCAGCCTTTGCTCTGGACTCCCGTCATGAAAAAAAACCTAATCACATATCCCTTTTAAACAGTTTTCTCCCTCATCTGTTTCAATGCAGTACACACTATTTAACCCATCTTTCCCAGTCTCCCGCTAACCCCGATACCAGTCCTGTTTTACAACAGTCGCATCATGCAGTAGTTGTCCTTTTGTGACTGAGATACTTCACTCAGCATAATGTCCTCCAGAGTCAATCTTTTTGAATAATATCGCATGAGTTCCTTCTTTTTCAATGCAGTGTAGTATTACATTGTGCGAATATACCACAGCTTCTCTAGCCATTCGTTTGTTGATGGGCACTTAGGTTGTTTTCAACTCCATGCTATTGTGAACAAAGCTGCGTTAAACATGGATGTACATATATCTGCTTGGGTTGCAGTTATGGTCTCTTTGGGGTATATTCCCAGTAGTGGAATTGCTCGGTCAAATGGTATCTCTATTTGCACCTTTTTGAGAAAGCACCATCCTGCCTTCCACAGTGGTTGCACCATTTTACACTTCCAAAACAGTTCCAGTTACTCCACAACCTAGCCAGCACTTTTTGCTTGCTGTTCTGTTAAATTTTGCTATTCTTACTGGGGCAAGATGATATCGCATAGTTGTTTTCCTTTGTATTTCTTATAAAATATATTTGCAATAAAGATATCATTGATTTTATAAAATTCTTCTAGCCTCATTTTGTCAACAAGTCCATGTTTTCCAACTACTTGTCCTTATTTCTTGTTCCTAACTTTTGCATTCCAGTCACCTATTAATGCATCTTGGTTGCTAGGTCAATTGATTTCCATTGGCTATCATTGGTAAAAATGTTCTCTTTCCTCCTTTTTGGCTCTAATTGTTGGTGCATATATTTGAATGATAGTGCTATTGACAAGTCTTCCTTGTATGTGTATGGATATTATCCTGTCACTCACAACACTGTACTTCAAGGTGGACCTAGAAATGGTCTTTTTAACTATGAATCTAACCCTGTTTTTCCACACTTTTTCATTTCTGGTGCAGTAGATCATATGATTGTCTGATTCAAAATGTCCCATGCCAACCCATCTCAGTTCTCCAATCTCTAGTATATCAATACATAACAACAACTCTATTTCTTCCTTAACAATGTCCAGTTTTCTTACATTCCAGTCACTAGTGTCTACTTGCAAACGATTCTTCTCCTTTCTCAATATGAGGGTTCAGCCTCTGGTGCCATATCTCCTACTCTAATCTAAATGTGCTCTATTGTTCATAAAGTTTTTGAAGTCCTGTTATTTCTGAAGTGGATAACTAATCCTTCATCCTAGCCTGTCTTAACTTGAATGCTCAGCTTTAGAACAATATCTGACAATCGATTTATCCAAAAGAGCAGATGATAGACACTTTCCAATGACACATCTAACAGATTCCAAGTAGGTTCTCCCCTCTTCAGCACATGTGTTATGTTCTCATCCTTCTGCCCCACCAGCATCCCCCTCCATTCCCTCTCCTTACTCCATCAATGCCACCCTCTCCCTCACCCCCAAACTGACCCTTGATATGATGGCACATGCCTCTGGCCACTTCTGTCCACTAATCATCTCTCTACTCCCCAAAGATAGTGTCACTCTGGGCAGATCTCTGATGGCAGAATCTGTGCTGTGGGAGTTTGTTCCAGTCCAGACTGCGGGAAGTCATTTTGGTCTTGCTGGAGGGTCAGCTATGAATGGGTTCTGAGTCAATATCAATGAGTGTTAAATGCACTTGATGAATTTGTCAATTTTAACAGAGTTTAATGTTTAGATTGCTGGTTTTGAGCAACTTATTTTGGTTAGAAAATTGAATATAATAGCATTTTAAACAGTAAATTATTAAATTAAACCGTCAGCAAATCATGCACTGCAATATTGTATGTAGTACATATTACTAACAATTGTTGTTGTTATGTGCCATCGAGTTGCCTGCCACTCATAGTGACCTTATGTACAATAGCTCTGAAGCCTGCCCTGTCCGCAGTCAGACTCACTGATTCCTACACACCTACCCCCACTGCTCTAGTTACTGTATCAACTCATCTCATCTGGGGTCTTCCTCTCCTGTGCTGTTCATCACAATAAGATATATTATGAACAAATGGTTATAAATGTACTTTGTATTAACTTAGATACATATATTGTAAGTCAAGGATCACTGTGAGATGTGAATGTAAAGTAATAAAATTACCTCCAATGGTTACAATTACTGTATTATATCATAGTTGTAAAAATTACTACTAAAATATTTAAGAACAACCCTGAAAGATTTTCAGATGCTTCATATGCCTGTGAAAGTTGGAAATGAATAAAGGAAGATTGAGGGGGGAAATAATACCTTTGAATTGTGATATTAGGAAAGAAAAGTGTATGGACTATGCATAGGGTCACTATAAGTTGCAGTCAACCCAATAGCACATAATTACAACAACAGCCAAAGCAACAAACAAATCTTTCTTGGAGGAAGAACAGCTAGAGTGTTCCTTAGAAGCAAGATTGGTGAGACTGTCTCACATAACTTAGGCATGTTTTCAGGAAGGTCCAGTGCTTGGAAAAGTAGGAAATCAATTTAAAAAGTATGTTCAATGAGATGCATTGACACAGTGACTGGACAATGAGTTTATTAAGCACAGCAGTAAATATGAAGACTGAGAAGAATCTGACAGGTTTCATTCTGTTGTAAAATCTCTATGAGTCAGAGCTCACTCAAGGGTACCCAACAATAATAATAGCTTGAAAGACTAGTTTTGAAAAGGTAAAGTTTAATTAAAATTTTTAAGAAACAAGGATAATCTAGGTTTATAGAAGGAAGCTACGAGCTGTCTTTAGTTTATAGAGAACACAGTGGTTTATGGAGACAATTTAACCTTAGGCCAAGAATAGTGAAAAGACCAGGATACTGCTTGTATTTATGAGATGTTGACAAAATTACTTGCATTTGGGAAGAACTTTAAAAAAATTTTTTCAGTACATTTACATTTAGGTATTGACACAATTTTGTCTTTCTTTACTGTTTTCTTCCTCAGACCTCTGCCTTATGAAGCACTCACTCAGCTGATAGATGAAGCCAGTGAAGGGAACATTAGCATTTCCATACTTACACAGGTAAGAAGAGTTCCAAAGCTAACTCTGGTTGGTGATTGATATTTTAAAATTTGTTTTTAAGTGATCTAACAGCTTCCTAAAACCAAAAAATAATCACTCTTACATCTGTGTCATCATTTTTTTTCTGTATCTATTCTGTGTACAGGAAATAATGGTATATCTAGCCATGTATATGCGAACTCAACCTGGCCTCTTTGCTGAAATGTTTCAACTTCGAATTGGTCTGATCATACAAGTTATGGCAACAGAACTAGCCCACTCACTTCGGTGCTCAGGTATTCAAATCCGTAACTTCCAGACAGAAGCACTTAAAGTTGTTTTTGTTGTTGTTATGTGCCATGAAATGGACCATGACTCATAATGACCCTATGAACAAAAGATCTGAACCTTACCTTATCTTGAACCAACTTCACAGTCTCTGACACACCTGACCCAATTTCCACAGTCACTGTGTAAAACTCTGAAAACTCGCTAGAGAGCTGAGTCAATTCTAAATAGCACAAAACAACAACAACAACTATATGCTTTACAGAGTCCTTGTGGTGTCGTCCATGACATGTTAAGCTGCTAGTAGAAATTTTGGTGGTTGGAGTCTACCTGTTGCTCTGCCAGAGAAAAATGGACAGTCTTTTCCTATGAAAATTAAAGCCTTGAAAATCACATAGATTACTACTACAAGTCAATCTGATGACACTGAGTTTGGTTTCAGTTTTTTTAATAGGCCAGACAAGAAACCCATATGCAATGGTTTAACCAAGAGTTTGGTAGTTTTAGTCTATCAGCTGCTCCTCTACAGAAATATGTATTAGTCTTCTTCCTTAATCATTACATCTTTGGAAACACTATGTGGCACTCTCCTCCCATGAAAATCCTTTCACCTTATAGATTAATCAAAACCATGATTGTTGTTGTTGTTGTTGTTCTTGCTTAAAAGATACAGGAAAGATTCCTGGGCCTGAAATTCTGTTCTTTCAGACAAGGTCAAGATGAATTCGAACCACCAACCTTTTGATTGTTCTTGTTGTTGTTGTTATGTGCCGTCGAGTCATTTGGGACTCATAGCGGCCCTATGTACAACAGCCTAAACCGTGCTCTATCCTGTGCCAATCTCATTGCCTCTGACAAACCCATCCTGAGT